ATTTTTAAATGGTAAACAAATAATAAGACAAAAAGTTACATTGGAAATAAATTTTAGGGGTTGCGTTTTCCACCCCTTACAACCACGGGGTAAACCAAATAAATTACTGGCCTAGTGTCTTCTTGGTAGTACAAAACGACAGGTTAATTTCAATATTGTAACTTTTTCAGTGATGAAAAAAATTGTTATACAAATTTTATGTACCCCCTTTAAGGGGCTGTATCTTAACAAGGGATGCTCCAATGAAGTTTCTTTATATGAAAGATCCTATCTTTTTTTCAATGAGGAATCACATCCTTAAATGTTTTACACGTATTCAGTTACACCCTGTATAGACATATAATTTCTGATTTCATTGAAGACCTCACATATTCCAACCGCAATGTAAAGAATGTAAACTGTAAAGAATGTAAATTGTAAAGAATGTAAATTGTATAGAATGTAAATTGTCACGCCTGGAGATGACAAGTTTTTTGGCCGTACTCTGCAGGGTTTTTTGCCTAACGTTTTGTCTACTACTGCCGTAGACATTATCAAAGGCGTTGAGGTAATGATCGTGATGCTCGTAAGGCTTAAATAAAAACACACACTTGGAGGGGTTTAAATATAATAAATAATTTATTGTAAATTCACTTTGAGATGGTAAAATATAACTTATTTATAGCAGTAAGTTTTCGCTACTGGTACTTAAGTTAGGCAAAGATTTAAAAACACTGCTCCTGTTTTTAACTACCTCAGTCTTCAAAGAATTCTGTAAGGAAAATTTCTTTCTGCTATTATTAGGGCACTCGATATCTAATGCTAATATGTTATTTCTGGATGATTCCGAAGAGTTTGGGGAGTCTTCGTTTCTGGGTGTATCACACAAATCTTCGACGTGTACATCAGCTTTCTGGATCGAAGAAGCACTGCTACTACAGCATTTCACCTGAAAGGAAATCAATTCAAAAGTGTATTCAAAAATAGTTTTTTGCAGTCAAAGATTTATACACAAGTTGGTCTCACTCGAAAAATCTGTGACAAAATAATGAAATTTGTTTTATTACTATCATATATAATTTAGTGGTCGATTGGATAAAAAGTAATTGATTTACTGAATACATCATTTTCATCCTTTTCCCAATTTTTGCCTTCAAATCATAGTTTCATTTCAATTCTTCAGTCTAATGTTTTTCTTTGTTCATTATCATTTTCCACAGTCTCCCAACTCGTCCCTTCCCCTTTTTGACACGCTTTTCTATTAGCTTCACCTATGTATATGTTTGTAACTCTCAAGCTCGGGATCTGTATTTGACAGATTTATCAACATTATTGCTTAATATATTCGCGGGCAGATGGCGCTGTATGTAACCTCCTTGATATAATTCGAACTCACTTTACATGTATTTCTTCATTTGGGAAAAGTATTTTTTTTTATTAACACACGTGCCTGCTGCCTTATTTGCAACCCTCCTTTGCACGCTTGCTGCCTTGGGCTTGGTAGCTGATTTTCAAGCTTCCTTTCCGGAATCGGAAAATATCACTTTCCCTCGCCAAAGCGACAAATTAAGACTGCCTATTCCATCATCAATTTTGAAATTGAATTTAGGGTTGAAATTCTCATTTGATTGGTTAGTTTCACTTCTAGGTTACACTTTCAAGTTAAAAAATAATGATGGGTGGTGTTCATTCTCCACAAGTGGCATATCACATTTTTCTAAACTGATGGAACAATTACTAATTACTAAATCCATGTTTCTATTGAGCCAGTTTGGTACATTATTGTACTGCACAGCATCAATTAAATTCAAACAATTCACCGCTAAAACAGCCAATTGTCTACTTTTTTATTGAATCAGTCTGTTATTCCCACGAATTTCTACCCGAAATAATTGATTTGTGTCGAAAATTCAAAATGTAGAATTAGATATAAATAGAGGCCAATTTTAGGGTTAGGCATCAGTTAACTTCATCTCCTGAAGACGCCACCTTGGTTGGTGAAGAGTATTGAAGTTCTGGTGCTATAAAGCTTATCTAGCTATCACTCTATTGTAATTTCCACAGATCAACGTACCTTACATTCGTTTTCGAAAACATAACACATCTGCATATCGTTTCTGGAATTCGAATTGGTCACAGAAGAGGGTTGATTATATTCGGCGACTGTCACCACCTGCGTTGGCATGTGCTGCCTGGTATCTCTTTGAAAGTACGGGGAGGAAGGTGGTGCTGACGGTTTTTCTGGTGCATTTTGTACAAGAATTATACTGAAATCAAAATATACAAGTTGCAATTATTCTTCGGAAACAACTGAGGATGAGGAGCTGGGTATCCATGTATTGATACTTTCAGGTTAGGAAGTTTGGTAATGTGTACTTTTCAATATTAGTAACGGCAAATTCAGTTGTGCTGAACCCCTACAAAAAAATGTATATACATGTTCAAAACCGCTCAACTCGACAGCAACAAACATTTTATGTACCACTTTATTGTTTGAACCACACATTCAATAGCTGTATTCCAAGAATCTTATGATTAGCCCATAGTAACATTGATCTTGAGATGTTTAACATCTCCTTGCATCATTTTAAAACTCAATTACAGAATACTGTGGTTTAATGTTTTAGTGTATAGTTCAAGGTAGTATATTTGGTATATGTTTTATTGTCGCTCATTGGTTTTTGTCGTTTTATACTCTAAAATTAACCCCTATCGAACTTTGAATTTACCCCGTTCAAGCTATCCTTAGTTGCAATTTATAATTCAGTACCTTATCTGATGTTATTTTAATCATAATTTAACATTGTAATTTATACTTCAAATGGTCTTGCCGATAAATAAATAAATAAAATACATGATAAAAAGATGTATAAGACGGCCAACAAAAAAAAAAATGTCAGATACCAAACCTGAACTTAATTGTTCAATAATTATAAAATACGAATTGTAGATGTATGGCTTTATTTAGAACCTTTTCCAGTGGGCGTTTCAGGTTAGAATTTTTTTATCGGGGACACATATTCTGCTACAAATGGAATAACCTAACCATTGAAGTTTAGTGTTTACCACAGCTTAAACAATTGTGCTATTTATGTTTTTGATATTACAATCCTTTGTCAGTAACTTTTTAGTCTGCTTAACTTCCTTTTTACTCTTATTTTTCCTTTGGATAACCTACTCGGTTCAAAATAATTAAAATTTAGTCTAAAAAAATTATTTGCCTTGAAAAACTCACCGATTATGTGCTTTCCATCTTGAAAATAAATGTAAGTACTGCCTGCACTGGATATACATGAAGACAACACCACCAGTAGATCCCACGGAAACTACCACGAGCTTCGTCCAAAACGGCCATGCTGAAAACACAAACCAAACGAATACAAATTGAGCGAGATGTTGCAAGCTCACCAATCAGTCCTTTTTTCACTTCTTCTGCAGCTCGATCAATCAACACAAACAATGACCAAATCACACAAACGGCAGCTACAAAATGAAACAAAATGGCACATAACAATCTCCGTCTCTCAACACTGCTCATTTCCAATATTCTCCACTGAAATAATGAACAAGTCAAATATCAAAATATTTATGGGAGATAGTTTGGTGAATATTTGTTTTCGGGCTCGAGCTAGTTTTTGAAAATTTTTCACTTGGACTTATGTATTTTTGTTCGCTGATCACGGATCTAGAGTCAAAATTGGTGCCCCGGTCTACATGTGGAGATATGACTACTAGAAATTTGAAAAATCAACAGTCTCAGGAAACTTACTTCAGGTAATGAAAACCAAGGTTATAACTTGGAAAATCTTGTTATACAGTTATTTTCTATAGAAAACATTCAACTTCGTAGTGAATTCTCTTTGCTCCTTATAGCATTTTAAAGTACATGTGTTGTGTGCCTAATCCATGTTCAAATTTCTTTTGACTTGTTTTATGCCTTTTAGGTCTTTGAAACCAATAAAGATTGTTATTATTATTATTATTACTTCCTCAAAAATGTATTTTTCCATTATTGAGGTCTTATATTTTAAATTGTAATTTCTTGGGAAAAATAAAGTGGATTTGAATTGATAAAATAAAAGTTTTTTATTCTGTGAAAGAATTCAAAATGGGAGAATAAAGACAGGTAGCATGGTGTCGTGAAAAGAATGTGTCATTTTACGAATATTTACTATCAGAACTACAAGTCTTCACCAGTTTTGACTCCCGAGTAGCCAAATCTTCGCAAGTTCTGACATCCAGATTCATCCTCAGCGATTAAAAATTTGGTATATTAATTATTTATATTGATATTAACTAACAGTATAACTGAACAATTCACTAATTCGATCTCCTATTAAGACAACTCACCTCTGAAAACGGCTTGATTTTGGTGTGTAAAATAAAATTGAATTTGCATAATTCGCAAGACCTCGTGTCAGAAGCAGCTAGCCACTGTCTCAAACAGGTTTGATGGACATATTTCAAACTCCCCGAACAGTAACAAGGAGAGAGCAAAGGATTATCAATATCTGCTTCACAGTGACAAATTCTGCAAATATCTCCAACAGAATTTGATAAGTTCGAAGCAGAATCCCAGTCTTGATTTTTCACAGAACTAGTAAATGTGGTCTTGTTTGTGGTTCCAGCATTTTCCTTAACTTTGATAAATTGTTGAGGCATTTTAAATCGTGATAACAAAGGTGTCAAAACATTTATATAACTACTTCACTCTTCGTAATTCATTTGGAATAACGGCCTGTTGCTTTCGTTGAATTATTTTAATAACAGTGAAACTGAGTTGTAAGTATTTTGACCATTTTATAAATAATTCCGGCTAGGTATGCATCAATTTATGTTTTGTTTTTGCGATAAGTACAACTTTTCCTGTTGGAGATAGTTTGTTGACAACCGTGTCAGTTATCAGTTGTCACTTCCAGCTTTCAGTAGTTTCAGTTGACAGTTGTACTCGTTGAGCGCGTTCAGTATGAGAACAACCACGAAAATTTGGGCGCGAGAACGCGTTGAGGGGCGTGAGATCAGTTCTCGTGGTAATTCATTATTATATATGAATAAAGTGAAATCATTTGATATATGCGTCGAGGCAACAAAATTTCATGGCTGTCCACAAACATGCAATCAATAACACTCGAATATTAAAAAAAATGTCACACATGATCGTTAAATTTTCTTGTATTTTTAATAACCTACCGACTGCCTCACCGGACGTTGAATACGTACTTTACGTTGACGATCCAAGTATAAAATATTCTAATAACACAAAAACAAGAACTGTTTCCGAACACTAGACCTGCATCTCTGACAACGAAGCTGGGTAATGAATACACTAAGAAACAGAGGACATTCTCCTGGAGTTAAACGTAAAATCCTGTTCCATTTTCACAAAGGAAAGCAGTAAGCAGTTAACCAGTTCTGATATAAGGGAATAGAGAAACTCTTTTGTTCATTGCTACAGTTGTTCATACTATCAAGTATAGATGTCGGTCAAATCGTAATTTGTTGTTGATTCTAGTCTAAATAGATGGCGTAGCTAATAGGTGGAGAAGTAAAGGTGAGGTAGTGGTAAAACTTGTAACCTTAAAAAAAATTATTTGTTGATGTATTGATTTCTCTATGTGGGCAATAGGAAATTAACTAATTAGATTTACTGGAGTTTCAAATTAATTACTGAATGTGTTTTCGACTGTGACTTACACATTTTGAAACTGCTCACCAGCACAATGTCTGAAGAGCTGAGAAAACGACATGGTAACGTTTCGGAATCGGAAAATGTGAGTATTTTTTTCTTCTGACATGACTAATTTGTTTGTTTTGAGTCTGATTTTACCACATATATCTTCAAGTTAGTGAATTGCTATAACTTTAGGCGTAGTTTTACATCTTCAAAATGTAAATTTTATTCATAAAAGTCATCATTACAAAGCTTTACTTGAAATTTTTAGTTATTGAATATTCATAATGATCATACGATCACGAAGGAATTTTCTATTCCTGAATGGATTATTGTGACAGTCTGAGTATTCTAATTTAGGATTTTCAGTCTGAGCATTGACGTGGTATTCTTGTATAGAAATTTTTCTATTCCTATTTTTCTGTAGCAGTTTTGTTAGGAACTTTCTTGTACATCAAATTAATACTTATAGTTGAGGTCATGTTCACATATATTTCAATAGCTTGGTAGGTACAATCAGTACCTGTGTCGTAAAATAAATATGAAGTATAAAAACTCCTCTCTGATCATTTCCTGATGAAGCTAACTTAATCACCGAAACGCGCTTCGAAAGACAGTGTTTTTATTCACGTGTGGGAGAAGGGTTTTCTTAAGATATATTTCACAGTATATTTCAACACTCCTCCAGTAAGTTAAGTATTGAGTTGAGAGAAAGTTTGTTGCTGTTGACTTTCAAAAGAAGACTCGAGTCATTTTTTATTGTAAATTTGAGTTCGTAGGACAAAAGGTTTTATGTATTTCTGGCTACTCGATTGGTATTGGTCAAAAATAACAAAGTTTGAGTTTAAAGAAACGGATATTCATTTGAGAAAATGTTTTGGTTGAGTGGTATTCGTAAAGATTATTTCCTGACATATTCTCAGCTGAATACATCGATATAAGAATAAATGTCTATTCCATTCAAATCAAAAAATAACTTATACGAATAAGTTTTGATTGTGATCTTGAGATTTCTGGATATCATAAATAAATTCTTAGTTATCAAAGTGAAGTTTGAATTAAGTTTGTTGTCTTTTTGCGAGATTCTCTGAATCAGCAAAGTGTGGCAATTCATTGTATTGGAGAGTTTTATTCGATTTACATATTCATTTGAGTTCTCTCAGTAGAGTAAGAGTCTAGTCACTTTCATAATCATAATGTAAAATTTAACCTGTTTATTTCTGCAATAACATATACGCAGTTTCACTATTTAGTCACAATAATATTTGATTCCATTGGTTCAGGTTGATTGGGACAATGACAGTGATCGAAATTGTGGGAATAATGAAAGTCCTGATTTAAAAATAATAACACCTAGATGTTGATTTCATGCCTGTCAGTTTTATAGCTGTCAGGAAAAATTATTTTATTCCTATAAAACTCTGTTTTGATGGCCTAGCCTTAAATTTTTTCATCATTGTTGACATTAATATCATTGATATGATCTACCTATCCAAAATTTATGTTGGATTATGGAATGAAGTTATATATAGTATTTTATCATATGCATGAAGAATTTAATTCCATATTGCGATTTTTTGAAAACTTGTTTGGAACCCAGAACAACAAATTCTTGCTAATTATTAATTTTTTAGGCTATTTTTGTCCTTGAAAGCAACATAAATATTCTGTGAGATATTCTAATGTATATTTTTCCATTTACCATTGATAATTAGGAGTTTGAAACATGAATCATCAAGTAGTTTGCTAATGAGGCGATAAAAAATAATTATACAAAACAAGTAATTAACTACAATAATTTATATTTCTTTTCATATAATTGACTATGAAGAAAATATAATGATGAATATATAGGACAACTGCTTTTCCCCAACTATGAACCTGAATACTAATTATAAGATTATGTTCATCAGTGTTTCTAAATTCAAATAATACGATAATGAAAAAAACCGTATTCATGTTATCAATACATGATGGAAAATTTTATAACATCCAGTAGATATTCCGTCATTGTGTGTAGGTGCATCGTCTCCGAAAATGGGGCCTATAGTCGCTCCCTTTGGGTTTTGCTCCACTGGACCCCTGTGCTTGAGCCCCTATAGGCCCCATAGGACTCTGCCCCAATGGATTTCACATGTCATCTGTTGATTGATACCAACAATGTCACTTGTCAGTGCCAACACTGTCATTTTCCAACTGCCACTTCTTGTGCCACCAGAATTGCTAACAATGTCACTTGTCAACTTCAAAAACACGTCCGTTGCAGAGTTGCAGTCCGCTGTCAATGACAAGAAGTCAAGAGGTGAGTCGTAAAAAATGTAATGGTTCTTCGATTTGGGAACGGCTTTTCGACAGATGACATATGACATGAGTGGTTGACTGATGGCGGAAAAGGAGTACGTTTGACAGATGACATGATGAGAAAAGTAAGGTTGACAGATGACATCGGAGTGGTTGGCGGGAAAGAGAAGTTATGAAGTTTTAAAAAAGTTCGGAGGAATTTTGAGGGTTTTATCATTTCTAAAAATAAATATGTGGGAGTTATAAGGGAATTGAGGTAGTTGTGAGAGAATTTTGTGAGTGTTTTCAAGGAATTTTTAGGATTCACAAATTTGTGAGAAAACTTCGAGATAGTTCTGAGGAAACGATTTATCATTTATTTCATTATTTTACAATGAGTAGAAACATGATTACTCACATTTTCATGGAAGAATTCTCTTTATTTCAAAGTATAACAAGTTATCAACAGATTATGTTTCAATGCTGGGGTTCAGAAAGTCATAATTTCCCTGTTTATAAATCATCTATTTATATTATTCTTATATTTAATCTGTGGTATGTAAATAGGCAGAACGAAACTTTGATGGCGGCGACACAAGTAGCAGTAAAGAAAATCTGCAAACAAACCTGAGAGATAGCGAGGTAAACTAATCGTCCTCAATTTTTGGTTTCTTTTCGTCAACATCTTTTTTCAGATCGACAGTGAAGATGACAAATTCGGCAGAAAGGACAGCATGGACTTATCACACAATATTCCTTCAGGAACGGATAAGGCTCCATCCGTTTTGGATTCCCTTCTTCAGGATTTGCCTGACAAGTGGAGGAATTGGGTGGTTAGGGGAGTTTTTAGTGTTCTGATGCTCACATTCTTCTTAGTCGTAATATATGGAGGACCATTAGCGCTCATGATTACAGTAAGTATACGAACATGTTTTTCAGATATCAAGTTACTTTCAAATTTTTTTGGTAAAACTTTGGAATTCGTGATTTATATCAGCTCTTCTTTGGGTGGTATTCCACAATTGCAAAGTTGCAGGAATTGTTTCACCATGAATAAAATTTTGACTTTTCCATTCATTTACAATTTACACGTTGGTCGAAAGTGTTCAGGAAGAAATAGAGCAAACTATTAGTAAAAGAAATGATAAATTGTACCAATCCATCATTCGAGGTCTGTTGAAAAAAAAAAGTGAATGTTCAAATTTCGCTAAGTTTTTATGTTGAGAAATTGAAGAAAATTGTTATAGAGAATCGTCGAATCACCATTAGAGAAGTCGCTGAGAATGTCAGCATATCGGTTGGCTCATGTTATGCAACTGTTTTGGAAATTTCTGGCATAAGGCGTGTATAATCCTTTGTTCGTTCTCACCATGCTCAAGTGTAAGTCATTTCTACCCCTTGTATTATACTCATGAAACTGGTTGTTGACTAGTAGATCGTTGTTGCTTTTGATTCTTTTGTTTTTTATTTTATATATGTTCTTGCATTGCTCAAGTTTAAGTAGATATTTGGGTGCAGTCCCGTCTGTGAGAATAAATCATTTGTGTGGGTTCGAAATGGAATTTGAAATGAAATGTTTATTGATTTATTTTGTATCTTGAATTTTTTTGAAATTAGTAATGCCATAAATACCCCATATGATTAACAGATACCTAAGATTCGCCAATATATATGCATTGTAAACCAAGTATCTATTACTGAAACTGTAACTGAAACTCCTCCTAACATTGGTACAATTTCATCATTAATATGTTCAATGTGTCCTGACCAGTTTAATTTATCATCTATTATGAGTCCCAAATACTTGATTTTTGCAACATTCATTAAGGGTAAGTTATTTATTCTTAATTGAATATTTCCACAATTTTTTTTTGTTTAAATAGCATGTAAACGGTTTTTGCAGAGGTCACCTTAAGTTTATTATGTTCAAGCCAATTTGAGTGTTCAGAGTATTTAGTATTTAGAGTATTCAGAGAGATCTTCATTAACTGTGTTCTCCAGTAAATGTAAATCATATCCACTGTTCAATAGGACCGTGTCATCGGCAAACGTGAAATACCTTCCCTTAAGCCTGGCCTGCCTCAGTGACAGTACCATCAGTGTATAGAACAGGGGTCCCAAAACGGATCCCTGTGGTACGCCACAATTATTTTTTATATGCTCAGTAATTTCTCACCAAGAGCAACAAACTAGGATCTTTCCTTTAAAAATGTCTTAATGAGAGAATAAGGTTTGCCCCTTATACCCATGCAACAGAGTTTGTTCAGAAGAACAGTATGGTCAACAACGTCAAATGCCTTTCTTAAATCAATGAACACTGCAATAATCATTCTTTTTTTTATCCAATTCCGATGTAATATTATGAATTAAATCTATATGGAACTTAGAGTGCTGCTACCCTTGATAAAACCATACTGATACCCATCAAATCCCACATAACGATCAACAAAGCCATTATTTTTGTCTTTATTATAGTTTCAATAATTTTAGAGAATGAGCACACAATTATTATAGGACTATAATTTTCTAAGTTTTTGTTATCACCACCCTTACATATTGGTATTACTTTTCCAGTCTTCGGTATCTCAGGAATATTAGTTGTCAGACGTGTTAAAGGGTTGAAATAAACGACTAACTATTAACTCTGGGTATAACGATGGATATTGACTTCTTGTAATAACAATGACTAACTGGATGCCTTTTTTTCAGGATAAATGAAATATCTTGTAATCGTTAATAAAAATAGGAATGTTATTCAAATTTTTTATGCCATTCATAATATGAACTGTTTTTCTGTATAAAAATAAGCTTCGGAATTCTAAATTTCTACTTTACTGTACGAATCAACTATTGATCTGTTCCAATATGCACTTTTTTTTTCAGACACTTGTGGTTCAAGTGAAGTGTTTCCAAGAAATCATCAATATAGGCTACATTGTCTACCGAATTCACGGTCTTCCTTGGTTCAGATCGTTGTCATGGTACTTTCTGATTACCTCGAATTACTTTTTCTATGGTGAAAGCCTCGTCGATTACTTTGGAGTCCTCATAAATAGAACGGTAAGTTTCGCAACTTTGATCAATGCTCATGGTGCTCTCTGAATTGCTAGAACATGTATATTATGGAGTAGAATATATTCCTTTGTGTGACAATTCAAAAATTGTATACTGTCGTCAAATATACAGGGTGTATCTTAAATGACGTCATTAATTTGAGGTGGTGATTACTTATCATATTTTATGTAAAGAAGTTTTACTAAAAATAATGTTTTTTTATTAATAACTCCAAAGTCTTTTTACCAAATTTAATGAAACTAGGTGTGTTTGTTTGCAGTAACAAGAGGCTCCTTTTCATGAAATTAGATTACGGATAATAATTCCAGTGGCGTCGCAGAGGGTTACCTGATTGGATATTTATGTATTTATGGCAAAAATCATTGTACTGCACTGATTTTCCACATGTTTCATATTTCCATCAGATTGATGAATCAATAAAAAATGTGTTTGGGAACAAGATTTTATACAAATGCACTAAACTGAAAAAAATAATTTCTTCATTTGTTTGATCCAGGTTATTCTGTAACATATTTGAAATCTTCCCAAGCAATATTACCTATTGTTGTAAATCATCCCCTGAAAAATATTACGCCGGCCGCCGCTGGTCATTGTAAATTAATGGTGATGTGCTCAATTCGCCTGGCGCTTCGCTTCGAGAATAATTCTATGGGCTTCGTAAGACTTCCATTGCCATATATAAACCCCGCCCACTCGCATATCGGCAGAAGTCATCTGACAATGCTGTGCGAAGTGAATTCAAATAGGGCTATATATATTGGAATATTAGATTTAAGTTTTAGTTAAAGTGTTTGCTTGTATTAACAGTAAAATAAAGTTGAGTTCGATTATTGTATAGTATAGTTGATTATTGTACAGTGTAGTTGATTATTGTCAAACCCACGGGGAAAACGTAACACTATTTTGTATCCGCGGCAAGCCTCTTACAGAAAACTCTAGTTCAAACAATGAAAAAAAACTAGTTTTTCATTTAAAGTGCATTTGTGCATATGTGATGTGTCAATACCCCTATTTCGTATGCCCCATCGAGTACAGTGAGACCTTGGGAAGGATGTCCATGGACTGCGAACCCAGTCCCATCTTCCGACCAGCAGACTATGAATTGCCAAGTTTCCTCAGCGGGTTCTTGAGCATGGTACTGATTTTTTTTTAGGAGTTTGATTTACAACGAACGAACTTTTGATTTCTGTTTCAGTTTGGTCTTTCTACTAGTGTGTCCATATATCCGTTTGTTCTCCATTCCTTGCCACTGTCTGTTTTTAGCAGCGTTATTGGACCTTTCGGTGGATTCTTTGCTTCTGGCTTCAAAAGAGCTTTCAAAATAAAGGTATGTAGACTTTTTACGCTTATTTTTTCCATATCTTTTTGTGTTTTTGAGATATTTTCAAAAAAGTTATTTTTGGGGTAGTTTTCAAATGCTTTATACCCCCAAATGAAAATTAGCATTGTTCAACAATGAATCCTTTAAATGTATGTTGAGATCAACTTATATTGAAAAATGCAGACTTGCTTTTCAGGTGATAATTTGAATCGTCATTTCATTGGACTATATTCCATCACATACAATTCAGATATTGGCTCTATGGCAACAAACTTATTCAATAAATCACCAGTGTGTTATTCAACAATGAAATGGTTAATAGAAATACTCATATTAATTAAGAGAAAAGTTCGTAGACTGACACAAAGATGGCGCTACTAATATTACATCCATATGATTTTAAGTTAACCCTAACCTTCAAAAGACATATGTACAACTTTCACAGCTGTCGGACTATTAGTTTGTGGGATAGAACATTTTGAATGAAGCAACTTTTGTCAGTTTGAAAAAACTGGATAAGAGGAAATTTCGTGTGTTAATATAGCATTGCTTTTTGGCGAAAAAAATACTGTTGAAGCCAAGGCATGGCTTGATAAACATTATTCGGACTTTGAACCAGGAAAATCAACCGTTGAGAAGTGGTTTTGTGAGGTGACCAAGGATGATGCACACAGTGGACTTTCATAGAGGCTGTTACCGAGGAAAACAAAAAAAGTCCACAAAATAAATTTGGATAACCGCAAAGTGAAATTTAACGAGAAGGCTGAAGATCTAAAGATATCAAAGGAACTTTTGGGACATATCGTGTATGAATATTTGGGTATGCGAAAGCTCTGTTCAAAGTGGGTGCCGCGCGTGCTCACAATTGACCAAAAACAACAACGAAGTGATGTTTCTGAGCAGAGTTTGGAGCTGATCCACCATAAGAAACCCGAATTTATCCGTCGATATGAATGGAACATGGCTCCATCATTTCACACCATAATCAAAACGGTTATGTTATGAGTATTTTGGAATGGGCATGGTATAATATCTTGAAAAGGGCAATTGCATAGCGTTATTGGAACGTTGGAAGGACTGAATCGCGGAAAAACGGTCCTATTCGAACAAAAAAAATTCTGTTTAATCAAGATAATGCACCTTGTCACAAATCAATGAAAACTTTGTCAAAATTGCATGAGTTGGGCTTCAAATTGCTTTCGCATCCACCGTATTCTCCAGATCTGGCTTCCAGCAACTTTTTCCAGTGCTCAGACCTCAAGAAAATGCCCGCTGGAAAGAAAATTAGCGCCGATGAAGAAGTAATCGTTAAAACTGAGGAAAGATTGATTTTTTAATGAAAGTTGGTGCCTCATTTTTTTAGGTTCTCTATAAAACACATGTCACTTAATTTCACATGCAGAAAAAGTTTTTTTTTCAATTTTCAGGATTTTGGCGACGTTATTCCCGGACATGGAGGTGTGATGGACCGTTTTGACTGTCAGTTCTTGATGGCTACTTTCGTTAACGTCTACATAACCAGTTTCATCAAATTAGAAAGCCCCCAAAAACTCCTATCGGAGGTGCTCTTCCTGGAGCCCGATCAGCAGTTACAACTTTTCTATAAGTTGAAGGAACACCTAGAAAGTACTAACGTCTTGGTACCTGTTGAATAATTTTTTTATACAGTGATGTATTTCATATTTTTATGAATTTTAATATATTTATTTATTTATTCGTGCCATTAACGTTTTATGTTAATAGTTTGCAATAGAAATGTTTAATTTTCGTTGAATATTCTCAGAGTTATCGATCTTGTTTATACGTGTTTAAACTTGTACGTACTTGATGCGTTAGAAATCTGTTAGATAAATGTACGTTTCCTGCCGCCTGCAGGGGACTAGGAAACTTTTCTACGGGGTTTTTTGCTTCTAGTGAAAAAGTAGTTTGTTTTCAAGTTCCCAGCAACCTGGCTCTTACAGTATAGTTGAATGTACCTCCTTGTTGTCTTTAAATAGATTAATCGTTTAGGTTAGTGAGGTGAGACCATTGATGGACTATGGAATACGCGATAAGGAAATTTTTTGAACGTATCTCGTAAAAGTCAACACTTTCCGGGTTGACCGCATCACTTTTTTTCACAAAAACATCTTTCTGTCTTCATGCTGATCGGGGGACGAATAATTTTTTTTTCATTTTTCTGTTTTGGTTTAATTTCGATACATAATCGTAATGTATATGCTATCATTAATTTTGGCATTATTCAGCGTTTTCCTAGAAGCTCGGAGTTGCAAGTATCCCTAAAATGAATTCACACAAAACCGTGTCGAGACTGAGTCCTAATTGAGTGCCCCTTCCGAAGTAGGATATGTAAGTGAAGCATGTAATTTTTTGTAAATCATGTTATGTATACAGGGTGGGTCATGAATGTGAGAAAGTCAAGCTCTCATTGAAGGAGCTTGTGCAGGATATTTCGGAATTTTTCCAGACTATTGGTATTGAGAAATTATAATAGTAACGATTCATTTCACCAAGATACATACATGTAAGGCAAAACAATAATTACATAACTGAGTACGAACAGAGCAACAAAAGAAAGTGCATCAAAACTGAAGAAAAAAAAAGATTGAATATACAACATTGTACACATGTACATCTGTCAGATAGTATATTTATACACACACATGTCCACATATACATACAGTTTTAAAGCAATAAATATTTTTTCGAATTAATTCGTAATTTTTGTTTGTCAAAATGTACTTCAAACATTGGAAATCGTTAAAAATAATATCAGCATTCCTACTGTATATCTTTGCAGGATGAGTGATATTGATATCCATGATTTTGTCCCAGATCAAGTATACTTTCCCATCAGATTCAGGATTTGCATTTATAATCGTTTTCTTCGCAAATATATTATTATGCTAGAAAAAATATTATCTAAACTATTTAAGGTCGAGCCTTATCTGTCACCATCGTCAACCAATGACCACTTCTCACACCGTTAGTGATCATTTGGTCCGAGAATCATGTGCCTTGACCAATTAGCCGTGAATGACAGCCTTCTGCATTTGTCCAGCTAAGATTTTTGCTTTAGTATGGCAAATCGGCATTATCTTGAGATTCGAGTAGAGAGGGCTTCGTTCTACCTAGGTTTACAATAATCAGAACAACCAGAGTGGTCTGATTAGGGTCTGCGGAGTTCGAAGAGAAAAATTTCTAAATTTCATCCGTTTTTGCTTCGCTGTTCGGTCGAAATTCATCTCAGTCGGAGCTGAAAGCTCTACTTCTAATTATTATTATCATTGCTAACCCACCAAATGGAAGAGATTGTTGAGAAGTCGCATTCAAGGTTATTTTTTCTCTAAAACATAAATAAGAAATGATACTGTATTTGATAGGAATGTATTTAAAATAAATTAAAAAATCATCAGCCTTTCATTATTAAACATCTTATTTGTACAATTGCTAACCCACCAAATGGAAGAGATTGTTGAGAAGTCGCATTCAAGGTTATTTTTTCTCTGAAACATAAATAAGAAATGATACTGTATTTGATAGGATTGTATTTAAAATAAATTAAAAAATCATCAGCCTTTCATTATTAAACATCTTATTTGTACAATTAGGCAATATATCTATATGATTTTACTGAAAGTCAATATGTAATATGCACTATCGGAATTGTACAGTGAAAATACTAAAGTAAATATTAAAATAATGATTTGTCCTGTACATTTGAAGGAACAATTTTTTTCTAATTTTTGAACCATCCTGTATCATAATTACGTCGGAAGATATGACCAGAATAGTGCATTTTCAGATATTTTATATTTTGTAAACCAGTAGTAGATATTAACGGATGTATTTGTTTCTTCAAATATCCTTGTATTGTGCAATTATATAACACATCATGTAGGACTAGAATTTCATTTGGAGAACATGTATTCTTCAATGTTGGCTACGCTGTGCATTTGTCATTAGTGTCAGCTGTCATATGTTATATACCATTAGTGTCAGCTGTCATATGTGAATGATATTTCTATTACCTACATTTTTAGTTTTATTTGCCTTTTGAGAGCTGTTTTTATTGTATTTATTTCAATGTCTATATCAATAAGGATTTTGTTGGCAGTGTCAATTGTAGTTGATGTTTATATTGTCTATTTTTGACCTATATTTGCTGTTTTTATTGTATTTTTTCTATTTAGTTAAGTTAATGGTGTGAACAATATCATGGCAATTGACATTAATGTCTTAAAGAGACTAGCTAACTTGGAAAAAATATATGTTTTCCAAATGAAATCCTCGTGGGGATATGGTATATTAGTTGTAGATTCTTGAGGAAGGCATAATTTGCCTCAGAACTGTGTGATAGGTACATTGAGAATTTAAATTTTGATGTGTGGTGTATGGTGATTGAAGGATTTTCTGTTGGATATATTGACTGTTATTGAAGAGATGAAATATATTATAGTCCTGAAAATATTTTGTTTGATTTCATATGAAAATGGCTAAATGAGACAATAAGAGTTTCGTTCCTCAAGCTTTTTTTCATATATATTTCTGAAGAATTGCCTCTTATATCTTTACTATAAGGTTGTTCCAGAAGTCGTTATCTTGAATTTTCTTTGGACATCTTATGATACTGAGAGATATTCGTTCATATTACGTTGGGTAATATTTCATGGAGTCCATTTCATATGTAGTAACGAGAGTTTCTTTTAATCTTTCACGAATAAAAAATCTTATCTCTAACAAACTATTCATTTGACAGGATCAATGAGAAGAATATATGTGGTCTTCAGTGAAAGATATCTCAGAATGAGGCTTGAAATGTTCAAAAATGATGATGTCATTTCTCCCATGTTTCAAAAAAGGTGCAGGTAAGTACAATGTCTGAATTGGACCCATTCTAGCGTTCCTCCCCAAAACAAAGTCTTTCACCATAACAATTCCTTTTGTCCATCTACTCATATCGTCTTTTAACGGATTGTTGACTACATATAACGATGGTCCTGTTGCAGATTTATCAAATGTTCGCCATGGACTCTGCTCATTGGTTCAGGATTTCTTGAATTCAAGAGGAAAAATCATCCAATTGGAAATATGTTCGTCATTCAACAAAACACCTCCTTGCCAAATACCTTTAAATTGTTTGTACACTCTGACATTTACTCTACCCCAGTTTTCCACCACCAAGTCCAAGGTATCACCAGATAATTGAACTGTTGAGAGAACCATTGTACCATTTTCCACTCTGAAGATTCCAAATTCATTTAATTCTGAACTTTTCTGCAACCATGATGACACCAAAACCCCATTTACAAGAACCACCACAGTATCATATACTCTGCCTTCTATTCTCAAGACTACATTGGCCAGTATATGAAGATTGTTTTTTCCATATACTATGTATCCATAGCTTTGACCACCATTTTTGTTTATGTTTAACATTTCCATTGGCAACAATTTCGTGGACTGTAGAGATGTTAGAGTTTCTAGTGCCGATTCAATGGATAGTTGTTCTTGTATAGCGACAGAAGTATAAGCAGTGATTTCTGATTTTTCTGGAACGTCAGGTAATTTCGTTTTGATGGTGGATTATCTGATGTTACAAGTTATTCCTTTATTCCATGATCTAACATTTGTTGCCTCAAAAGTTTCAGATAATCTAAATCTTTTTTCCCGAAACGGCATATTCGTTTTCCACTTGAAACATCAATATCGGTACACCGTTTATGAATTGAAGGGATGCAAGTATTGGTAAGAGAACGTTGAAAAATCTGATAACGAATTTCATGTTCATACTTCAATATCATTATCTCTCAGCAACCACCTCGGAAAACCTCCGAATTCAAACTCATGGAACGTCGGGTAATTTCGTTTTGATGGTGGATTATCTGGATTATCTGATGTTACAAGTAATTCCTCTACTCCATGATCTAACATTTGTCGCCTCAAAAGTTTCAGATGCCCTAAATCTTTTTTCCCGAAACGGCATATTCGTTCTCTACTTGAAACATCAATATCGGTCCACCGTTTATGAATTGAAGGGATGCAAGTATTGGTAAGAGAACGTTGAAAAACCTGGTAACGAATTTCATGTAAACAGGATTCGAAGTTCGTACTTCAATATCAATATCTCTCAGCAACCACCTCGGAAAACCTCCGAATTCAAACTCTGCACAAATGAAAGGTCTTGGTCGGACTATATAGCGAACAAATCCTCTTGTTGAATTTAGACATGTCACTGTTGCAACAGGAAGTATCAAAATGAGTACATGGCACATTTGTAATATTTGACTTATATAAAACAAAATAGGCTGATAGCCAAGAAAATACATTTTTGGATTGAGACCATGTGGTTCAGTCAAAGTATTATATGCTGTCTGTTCAGAAAATGGTGCAATTTCCATTTTTCGTTTGTTGATGAGCTGGACCGTCCAGTGCGAGCGTCGTCATTCACATGCTTGTAACACTCGTAAACATTTTTTTTGACTTCGAGTACAATAACCGTAGGTAGGCCAGTGTCAACATTTCAAGTGTTTTTGAGCACATAATTCCATTTTTTACACAAATTTCGATGCATATTCTTTAATCTTTTTTTTAGATAGCAGAAAATCCCCCAACACATAAAACACTTCTAACTGAACATGCTGATTAGCTGAAACTGTTAACATATATTCGAGTCGAGAAGAGTGTACCAACTATATCCAAAGGTACCAACATAAAAAAATCGCTAATCGAATTTACGTAGCCCGCGAAATTTGAAAGTGCATCTTATTTTTTGAACAGTCTACGTAATCTAGTTATTTCAACGTGTTATTTGATGTTATAGTCTCATTACATTAAAAACTATGAATACTTCTCTAGGACAAAGTTATAAATTAGGCAACCTGCCTTTATAATTGCCAGTAAACCTTGTCCTATAATAATTTCATTTCTGAAAAGTGAAACAAAATTTTTGGGTAAAATATTTATTACTATTAAAAAAAGTTGTTTCGATTATACTATTCTAGTTTTACCTAATATAGGTGTTGTAACTATACAATATACATGTTATTTTTCCCTACTCAAATAAATTTGGTTCTCTCGCTTAAAATTCACAACCATAATTATTTATATGAAACACAGACATCAAGAATCATTCTAATTCCACATAAATGTGATAGTGAATATGTTAAACTGGAACTCTTACGTGACCTTTGCTAAATTTCACATCTGAAAATATTTCTATTATAGTTGTCCATTGAATTCACGTACACTGAACTTTCTGTTTACATTATAAACCTACATGTTTTCTCAATAAATTAATGGAATACGTCTAATATGTACATTTGAAATCACTTGGTCTAATTAAAAACATTATCGTGTCAAAAAGTAAATAAACGCGTGTATTATCTGAAACATAGTATGTAGAAGTCGTTCATTCTACAGTGTGATCCATTAGTGGTGCAACAAATGGGATTTTTTTTTATTTCTTGCATAATCACAGATCAAAAATGGTAATTCTTTTGGTATGATTAGAATTGACTCATCCCGTTTTCAAAAAATATGTTAATCTATTTTATTTTTGAAAATGTTCATCACATTCTTGAGGGATGAAATAAGAGTACCCATCTCTATTGAATTCTTTTTTATCAAATTATCGTATAGATCTTTTGTCTCAAAGTTATTATTTTGTCAAGAATTCACGATATCATAAACAGTATAATTTATCGGTTTTTACTCTTTCTCAATCGGCAAATAACTTTCTCCAGTACAAACTGGGTTTGGCATTTCTGCAGTTTTTATATAGGTAATAAAACCTTACTTTCTGTTCTGTGGAATTTCAAAGTCCAAAAATAATTGTTTTCAGTGATATAGACCTGGGGACACATTTTTCAATATTTTTTGTGGTGTGGCGTCAGTACCATCATCGGTCTTTTAATGTGTCAACAATTTCAAACTTGGTGATTACTTTTGTAGTTTTGTCAGAAAGTAGTCCGCACTTCCTCGGAACAAGATCATTGCAGTCAACAACGCTCACTGTCGGCCATAATAAAAACTGTAAAGATGAATTTATGCACGCTAGATGGGCAAGTAACAACAGGAAGTGACAATTATTATTATTCCATAACTATTATCCACTGCGTAAATTACCACCGATTGGCTTATCGCAGAACACAGAGAGAAGAAATGAGGGGCAACCTAACCTAATAATTTCCAAACACTTGATATGTCATTTGGATAATTTGTTCATCATTTAGAAATTGGTGATCGGAGCTACGTACGCATCATAGACGTCCCGATCAATATGGGGCATGTTAATCACACCCAATTTATATGTCAAAACCTCGCAAAACAAACTGAAAATTACCAAAACAAGCCAAAATCAAACATATATCTTTTAGGCACCTAGTTAGCTGTTTAACAGCTATTGATCTCTTGATCCTCAGCGCCCTCTGGCGGTCACACCAATGATAGCCGTCATAGATAATTGATATTGATACTTATTACTCGCTACTTGCTAATCGAGAGTACATAACTTCAACTTTAATCAGTACTGAACTTTGACAAAATTTCGGAAAATTTAACTTCATCCCATTTCACACGAGAAAAGTGCCGGTCTATTCACAAATGTACTGCAATTTGAGAAAATTTTCACCAGAGTGATATGGTTGTAGATGTTTCAAATATGAATATATCACATTGAAGTACGACGTGAAACCACAACTTAGTATTTGAGCGCCTTTTCTTTTTCACAACTCTCCAGTATCAATAACATATATTTTTTGAAGCAAAAGGTAGTTTATTCTTGTCCCATTGTGCGATGAATCAAAAAATCCAATTAGTTGCAAACTCAATGAACCGCATTCTATATCAGAGTTATTTTTGTTCAAAATGTCTCTATTGATATACATTCATTCATAAATTGTAGTGAAGGAAGGAAACTCGTGCCTCAAAAAAATACTTTTTTCAAATTTCTAACTCAAACATTTCCTAACTTGGATTCATTACTTATCTCATCCACTAGAAATCGTGCATACACAGCAACTGGGAATCCAAAACAGATCCGTATATAACTGATTTCCTCCTTCTTCAAGTGCCACGAGTCTCTTCTGTATGTATTTCTGTTCACATCTTGAAGAGTACCCTTGAGGTAGGCTGCAGATACCACTGCAAACTTCGGACCTATGAACAAAATTTCATTATTGACACGATATCAACCTAATTTGGGAAGAACAAATCAACCACGTGTGTGCTGCTATATGACAGTTGAAGTCCAGCATAGATGAAGCTGGCTTCCTTAATATATTCGTATATTACGCCATAGATTACTACCATCTTAGCTTGAACAACATGGCTTGAGGAAGAGTCAGATATCTTATCAAAGTTTTGAAGCTCAATAGAGATACCAGAGGCCGATATTTAATTTGAACTTTACGTACACCTGCCGATCTATCTTTCTATGAAAAAATCTAACCCTCACTTTACATTTAGATTTTGACGTGTTGAATTACTCTTCGTGAGCAGAATAATAGCAGAATCAATACTCCTGACCGCTCAGGATTAAATGATTCCGTACAGTCTATCTCGTCTTGTGTTTGTAAATCTTGCTGGAAAAATTCTCACGTGGGGTTTTGGGCTCATACCGGCCTTGTTCATCTACTGATTTGAATTTCCCGCTGTATGCGCGATAGCTGATTGGTTGACTGAATGACGGTAAAAGTGGAGGTGGTTTGAAGTGGGCTTTGAAGGCTAAGGCTAAGTTTACACATAATGGACGTCTGGCAGAGACAAGGTGCTGACCTTTGCCCCTTCCGTGTGAAGTGGGCCTGAAGTCCAAAAAACGCCAGAATGTAGCTCCATAAGAAAATACATGGGATTTTGGCTCAGAACTCTTGCAGCTATATTACTCAGTCTAGCGACCAACAGATCTGATCACGAACATAACACATGGCATGGAACTGTTTTGGAAATTCCACAGCACATAACGTCATTATATAGAATTTCACACAGTACCATGTGCTTAGTTGTTACAAGATATCAGCTGAAGCGAATTAGCAGGGATTGTATTTATATAGTAAGTATTTTTATACATTTGATTAGAAATATATGATTATATAAGGCTATGAAATACTATTTTATAGGAATTTGTTGCCATATTGATTACAAACCTGCCACTCTATGTGCTAGTACTAATCCATAGATTTTATTCATTCAAACATAATTCCGCCTATTGGTATCATTATAAACTTGGTTGAATTTTGACCAACAGTTTTAGTCTCTGACCAGAAATATCTAGAATCATCGGACTGGCAAGAAGTTGGTTTTTAATTCTCTGGTTGTGCGGTACTTCCGTTCATTCGTAATTCACATTCCTTGTAAGCGTTAATAAACTTGCTACTATTTTTGCCACTTTGATGGGCTGCCAAACATGTAAGTATCAAATAATTCCATTATCGAAGGGCAGGAACCATCTTTATAGTAGTTTTGACATCTTCAGTATTACTGGGTTTATATTTGACTAATTGTTGTACCCCACAAGCGAAACATTTGAGGTTGTTGGATGAAATATACTTACACACATGTTTCACTTTTGACCAGCTGGGTGTACTGATTGTCCACTTCGGGCATATTGACGACGTACATCCAGTTTCCCTTGTTGTTAAGGGCAGCCCGGGGCATGATGTACTGGGATCGAGTCCTGCATAAAGTTTCGCTTCGATTTGGGCTTTGTCGTTTGATTCTCGAAGAGGTGCTGTTCGAGTGACGACCATCTTCGAACCGTTCTTGAATGGAAACTTGGGATCGCTTGTATTTCAGAGATCGCTTCAGTCTTTGGTAGTTGTTCTCGAGTCGCCTAAGTTAGAGAAGAAATTAAACGTTAATAATATTTTCGAACGAAACCCCTAAGCGTCGTAACTTGTCAGAGATGAAGATTGTCTTTGTATTTTAACTCTTTATGGTACTTTCATTTTTTGAATAATTATTTTATTCATCGTAGTACAACTAATTATTGATTTTTAATATTTTTTTCCGAAGTAAAGTTTTGTAAAATTAAAAAGGGAATTTTACTTAGAAAGAAGCCTAGAGGGGCAAAAACCCTATTGTGAGGTTCATACGCTGAAATTGGCAGGTAATACAGGAACCCAAAGGGTCCAAAGTGAACTATTTTGGTGGCAGTTAGTGGTGTGACTTCTACTGGGGGCAGCAACCCCCCAACTATAGAGGGTTGTATTCTGCCAAACGTCAAATCTATCAAAATTACTCCCTTGGAATTGATGAGGACATTTAAAAAAAAAACAAGGGTCTGTTTGTTTCGTAGTTTATCAGCCACCGAAGTTAGCAATTGGGAAAATGAAGTGTTCAAGGCGAGAGTAAGCGGTATGACAGAAGTGACATTTGTTTGGTACTCTGACGTTATTTTGTCGACAGAAGTGTGTCACAAATTTGGCAAATGGTATAATTAGCATATCTGTGACGTCAAACGAGTACCAAACGTTCGTCAGGCCCGAAACGCCAAATTAAAGCATGAGAAATGACGAGCTGTATAATCGTCAAATGTTCAGACGTTAGAATGATTGTCAACATTAGATTGTTAAACGTTTGAACCAATCGATTCATTCGATAAGACACACCTTTGTGACAAGATAGGTTTGTTCCAACTCGTTACATTTGGTTACATACACATGCGCATTGAATAAAAGCTGTTTCAACCAAAAGTTGACGATACTTGGTACCATTCGTTAAGTGATCCAACCATAAAGTGTACGATTCAGGAATCGATTTCTGTATCGTCATTTCGATACTTGCCTTGGACTTGCTTGGACTGACTTGGGCAGTTCATTCATTCTCTTCTTTCGTCTTTGTTCTTTATATGGTTATGCTTTTTAGACTTGGTTGTTAGTGGTATGTTTTTGATTAATGTTTGTTTATGGTAGTTATTTTGTTTTCTCTTAGAAAACACACAAAGTTTTGATAACTCGACAACCTGATTACTTACTGAAGAAGCTTAAAACATTCTCTACGAATAACAACTTTACTACAAGGAATAGTTCAGTCCTAGTCATCCCCAAACACAAATCTTCCATCTTCACCCGCTGCTTCTCGTATAATGTACCCAAATATTATAATCAACTACCCTGCGAAGACTTATTTATCTCATTAGCCTCTTGTCCATTCCCGACCTTGGCATTTCTAAAATGAATTTTCTAAAGTAAAGCAATAACTAAAATTTTGGTATATTGTTAACTCGACTTGTGTTCATATTATTTATTTATAGTTTTTCCCAGGTTGAGTTGAAAAACAGCCTTGGCTGATACTCCGCCTATTCACCATATACTGGAAGTTTTTTTTCTTTGTTTTTGTTATTGTTCCTGTATTCTGTTTTATTTTATTTTTGTCTATTCCATTTGTATTTTTATNTTATGATGCACTGTTTGGAACCTTTGGTGTAGTAATGAATATTACTGGAGTTTTTTCCCAACACCAAATCGTTATTTTTAACACCTCGACACGTGTTTCGATCACCAAGTGATCATCTTCAAAGAGGAAGATTAAAACTCCAGTAATATTCAGTAAGTAAGTAAGTAAATTTATTCAATTCAGTTATAAGACAAAATACATAATATGACGAAAGGATATAAAATAAAATAAATGAATAAAGATACATGAAATGTAGATATTATACAATTCTAATGAAAGTTACGGCTACCTAAGCAAGCTTGTATTGTAGCCAGCAAACTAAGTAGTACCTATATCTTTTCCTGTATAACCAAACATAGTAAACAGAATGAAGAAAGGAAGAGATAGTAAGAAGTATAACCTGATATTAAACAAATACATTTTATATAGTTCTGGTGGGCACTCTGCATGATCGAAGCGAAGAACACCCACGCTTAAAGGTACTTGTACATTCTGGTGGCATTAAACAATTCATTAAATTCACTTACATTGTAAAGAGTTGTTGGGAGAACAAAAAAGTTGAAGAAAAAAACAAGGTAATAAAGAAAATAGATCGCCAATATAACAGTGATGCATAAATCAATAAAGAACTCGATGGGGATGCGAAAAATTGAGAGTCAAACAGGAAAATACAAAATACGTAATGAAATGCTGAAGTAAGAATAGAGTCTATCAACTGCAAGACAAGTTTTGACATGTCTTCCGAATGTCACATGAACTTTATAGGTATCAGAAAAGTATATAATGTTGAGCATACAAATGAAGGAAGCCACAAAAAAGAGATGAAATAGCAAATATCAGTGGAGAATCATAAAACAGAATAAACGGAGAGAGAGAGAGAGAGAAAAAGAGAAAAGTATTCAAGAAAATAGTTAAGTCAACACAATTTTTCATAACAGTAATCTGAATCGTTTTTAGGTCTATTTCCTAAGATTAATATGTGGAAGGTTATTTGAATGGAACTTGTAAATTGTGCGTCAATTCGTGGCAATATTGATTCATCGCTAAAAATGTTTTTAAACAACATGCATCTTTGAACTTACCCGGGGTAATGATCCGGATGTTCGCAATACGTTAATCCATGAAGGGCACAAGATGGTGTTTTACCAGGAGGTGCTGGCAGGAACGCACAGGGTTCGCTTCCATATACAGGGGAGCATCCAGTGTGACAGTATACGGTGACGGTCGAAATTATCGATATTAGCTGCAAAAATACAAATATTACTGAAGTTGGAAAAAGCTGACTTTTTTTCAAATGGAGTACCTTATGAAATATAAGAATTGAATATCGTCTACAGGGTGATTGAAAAGTTGTAGCCACAATTTTAAATATCGATTAGAAATAGCTACATGTGAAAATTTAGAAAGAATATGTAAAAATTAATTATAAGTCAGGTTTCAAAAAGCTGACTTTTTTTCAAACGGAGTACCTTATGAAATATTAAAATTGAATATCGTCTACAGGGTGATTGAAAAGTTGTAGCCACGTTTTTAAATATCGATTAGAAATAGCTACATGTGAAAATTTAGAAAGAATATGTAAAAATTAATTATAAGTCAGGTTTCACCCCTGTATCACTTTGAATTGGTGGATCTGCAGTTTTCTCTACAAGATAAAGTTAGACAATTCAATAACTATTTTTTAAAACACAATATCGTTTCAAGACGACTCAAAAATTATGCTTTTGTGTCTAATATGAAGGTGCTAAAGAGACACAAGGTATATTTTACATAATCGAGAGTTCAAATTATCGATTAATCATAGTAAATACTTCAAAATTATAGAAAATTCCAAGTTTGATCTATAAATTCAATTTTTCTGGTTGTTCTAGAGTAAAATTGCATCAATACTATTTTACTTGAATCAACTACTAATGAATTCTTCTTGCACCAATTCGTGAATTCAAATGACAATAAGTTCCTCGGGACTTTCAGCATTAGTTGCTAGAGTTGTATCATCCGCATACAATTCGTGCTAACATAGTCTAATCTATTGATTGTGAAAAATATATTTTGAGGCCTTTTAGTGTGGCCATGATCTACGATATCCGTCTCTTTTGTCAGATTCGAGGCCAGTTACATTGTGGAATTTCTTCCTGACGTTTCGCTAACACATATGACTAGCTTCTTTAGAGGTGCTTTCAACTCATATGTTGAAAGCAGACGTGACAACTCAAATTTGTTAACAATCATTGAAATTGGCTCTCAGTACATTTCTTTCACCACTCGAAATTTTTCCTTTGTAGAAGGTTTGCGTCATTTTCTTCCTGACACAATTTGAAGTGTGTCGATTTCTGCTTTGCTAAAGCAATTCCATAGTTCTTTTCTTAGACGGTCCTTGCATTAAGGTTTTCATGTGTGTTTTTCCAGGTATAGTTTCCCATCAGTATCCTCTGTTTCTTATTTATTTATTTTGTGAACCAATCATGACCTGCTATTAGGGAAATTGGAAAGATATGGTGTAAGAGGAGTTGCCCTAGATTTAATGAAATCCTACCTGGAAAATAGAGAGCAACGTGTCAGTGTTGGAAACACTCTCAGTCAGTTGGCAACCATTAGGCAGGGTGTCCCACAGGGATCAATCCTTGGACCTATACTATTTTTGATATATGCAAATGACCTGATGAAATATTTTCAAGGATTGTCAACTATTCACACAGTAGCGTATGCAGATGACACAAATTTTATAGTGAAGGAAATTGATGTAACGACCCTACAGGAAAGAACCCAGGATGTACATAAACAAGTAAACATATGGGCAGAAAAAAATCACTTAACACCAAAACTGTGATGATGAAGTTCACAATTAGTAAGTGGCCCGAACATTTTGTTATCCATGAAAATGGGGATCTGCCAATTGAATCTTTAACGTCTACAAAAATGTTAGGCGTCACCTTGGACTACAAACTCACATGGACTCCTCATATTGAGACCCTCTGTATTAAATTGAGAAAAAACTGCTATGCTCTGAGATTCATGGCTACTTTTTGTAGTAAAGAGATTTTACTGAGCTTATACTATGCGACCATAAACTGCCACTTGAGATATGGAATTTTGAATTGGGGTACCGGATCTGCTGCTGAAAGAATATTTATTTTGCAAAAATATGCAGTAAGAATCATTTCCGGTATTGGTTGGAGAGAATCATGTAGAAATGCTTTTAAAAATTTCAAGATACTAACTGTTGCTGGTCTCTATATTTATGAATTGTGTATATACGTTTATAGAAACAAGCATAATACACCTTTCCAGCAACATAATTATCCAACTCGTTCTAGAG